AGTTCATTATTACATATAATTGAATACATTTTCGGTGAAATATATTTATGACAATTACTTTAATTGTTTTTATAAGTGACTGATTTTGCAAAATCTTCTAAATTTAGAAATAAAACTCATTTATACAGAGTTCTAGTCTTGTGAAACCTTATCGCTTAAAATATGTTATTATTAATCACACAATAATTCGACAGTATTTCCATTAATTGTTTTCTAAAGTATTTAAACATTAATATCTAAAGTAATATAAAACACGGTTTAAATATTTATTGCATTACGATTTTCATTAAATGGATTTGAAATTTTAGATCAAAACTATTTGTCATAAAATTAATGAAAGATTTTTCATCGAATTATTATTTTTAGAGTCAATTAGAAATAATTATATTTTCTTTAAAAAGCGGCAAAAACTAAAAATAAATGAAAAGTAAATTTGTTTAAAGAAGTGATTAATGACTACATTAAACGTAAAATTGAATATTTTCACAATTATAATCATAAATAAATGAATGTTTGAAATTAAAGACTTACGTAAACGTACTGAACATTAAGCTAAACACAAGAAATTAAAGAAAATGTTTTTTGAATGAAAGCACACAAAGAAAAACAAGTTCTCCATAATTAAGTCTCAGCAAACTTTTCAATAGATTTGAATTGAGATTTAGAGAAAATATCGCGTGTTTGACATTTTCCACGAAATTAATTTTTATTTTGCGAAGAATTTATAGCTTAAACTTTTATCAAACAATGAAAAAATTTTCAAATTCAAAATGTTTCCCATAAAAAACTCTTAATTATTTAGTATTTAATTATTTTTAGACTTCATCGACTCGCAACATGTAAAACATTTTAAATTTATAATAAATGAGAATTACTTTAATATGATGTGAGAAATACTCATTAATGCAAACTCACCAAAATATTCTGAATATTATGTCAAACCATATATTATTTCTCACAAATAATCATTATTATTTAACTCTAAAAATTCGTTTTAAAACTTTAACTCATGTTTTATTTAGCCTATAGTTTAGTTATATAAACTCTTTTCTCAGCAGTTATTTTAATAACTTAATTGTTTTGATTTAATTCATTAGTATTTGTTTGCAGTGCATTAGATCATCTAAATTATAAACTCTACTCTAATTTAATTTAATTCGAAATATTTTTAATTATTTAAATTTCTAAATAATTTTTTGTTTAAAATATATACAATATTCCTTTATTTATACATTATTATAAAATTTTTTATTAATCTAAAATATAAAATCTTATTAATGTTTTTAGTATTTATACAAAACAAAATGCAAACTACCGGTAATATTGAATAATAATTTTTTCATTATTTGAATAATTAACAAATCTTTAGAAAAGTCTGTGAATTTAAAAATTGCCTAATTGTAAAGACATTATGCATTAATATTATATAGGTATTGTATTATATTTCTGGATTTATATTATATTATGATAACATATGACATTAAAAATATTTCGTATTTTATAATTAAAATATGAAACAATAGTATATTTCATCTTTTCATATATTTAATGTCTTATACGTATTCTATACCTGTATAGAAATACAATCATAATGTTTAAGTATTTTAAAATGAATTATATAAAATGAGCTTAAATTGAAAATTGTAAGATTTATATTTGATTTGAAAATAAAGTGAGAAAATGTTTACTAAAATTATACACATTTCATGCATTGGTAGTCAACTGTAACGAACAGTTCAAATAAATCTTTTCTTTTTTAATTCAAATAATAGACAGAAACTAATGTGTGAAACATCTGACTTTGTGAGCCATTGATGGCTATCAGTCTCACAATGGACTGGGATTTGGATAAAAGGCTAAAATTTCGTACAAAACGACCCATCATTCAAAGACATCTTCAATTGAATAATCTTTTATGTGTTTTTGATATACACTCTTATTATGTATCTTATATTCATCTTTTACTCGAATTTAAACACAATAATAATAAAACTCTTATAAAAACAATAAAAAGAAATTTTAATAAAATTTTGAATAAACCTATTTGGTAAAATTTATTAATATAATAATCCCAATAATTTTTAATTAAACAATAAAACAAATTAATTATTGAATACCGAATAAGCACATATTAAGTAATTAAAATCTGGGTAAATTCTGGATTAATAAAAATAAATAATGAGTTAAACCTACAATATAAAACTACATGTCTAGAATTTTTGCTTTATATTATTGAGTATGGTAAGTCTAAAATGTCAAAGAATATGTTTGAATCAAAGAATTTTGTAAACATATATAAATAGATGGTGTGATTATTAAAGGGTGAGAGAAATGGTAAATATTTTTGCTCATTAATTGCTAAGTTGCTAATTAAACACAAAATATCTAAATATGGAATAAATTCATAGAAATATAAGATAACGACCTCTATATTGTCTTAACAATTTAATTTGTTTTAAGCTTCAATTTTGTTATAAAAATAATTATATTCAGAAATTAATATAATAATCCCAATAATTTTTAATTAAACAATAAAACAAATTAATTATTGAATACCGAATAAGCACATATTAAGTAATTAAAATCTGGGTAAATTCTGGATTAATAAAAATAAATAATGAGCTAAACCTACAATATAAAACTACATGTTTAGAATTTTTGCTTTATATTATTGAGTATGGTAAGTCTAAAATGTCAAAGAATTTTGTAAACATATATAAATAGATGGTGTGATTATTAAAGGTAAATATTTTTGCTCATATTAATTTGTGTTTTATAGATTTATACCTTATTTAAGTATCTTTATATTCTATTGCTGGAGATATAACAGAATTGTTAAATTAAACAAAATTCGAAGTTAAAACAATATTTTTATTAATATAAGTCTATTAATAGTTTATAAAAAGTATATTTTCATTTCATTGTATGCATTAAACGAAGCAAACAGTTATTGTGTGTTTGAATACCTTATTGAATGAAAAGTTCAGAGAATAATAGCTTTAATTAGAAGTTTTCTAAACAATTAGTAAATAAAAAATAAGTGTTTAATTCAAAACAAAGTTTAGACTACAGACTGTTAATGGTTGAAATGAACGCTATATATAAGTTAAATCCTCATAAAAACAATCCAATTGTAAAATACGAATATTAATATAAAAATCATTGAAATATAATATAATTTATGAAATCTTTGCGATATTTAATGACTCGTTGAGTAAACTATTTCTCTTTTACCCCCAGAAGCCTCCCCATTTTTCACAGGCAATTTACTTAACTACTATTTAAATATCGTATAAATTTGTTTAATAATATTTTATCAAACGTAGATCTTATACATAATATAATAATATAAGAGTGGTATTAATTTGGATTAACAATATAAATTTAAACTTAAGTTAACTCTTGAACAATTCTTAGCACATATTGCTAAACACTTAAAATATCATTTGTATATCTTAATTTTAAAAACTTATATAAATATAGTATTAATTTACAAAATATTTATCAAATGGACAATTGAAACCAAATGTGACTAAATTAATGACAATTGTTTATAATATATTTTATTATATTGTTGAAGTGGATATAGTGGTGACATATAGTATCCCTTCAAATAACTCAACACAACTATGTTACAGTTATATAAAACTAAATCATATAATCATACTTATGTATATGAATAAACTAATAATAAATTATAATTATAACATGCCATTAAAATACCAGTTAATAACACTATAATCGTAAGCTGAGCCTACAATGTAGGGCCTACATTAGTATAGGCCTACATTGGTCAATTGAATCAATGATAAGGTAGTACTGTAATCTAATATAGTTTAACTAATCTCAACCATTTGAACTATTGCTTTTTGACAAATTAATCAATTATTAAGTTAGCAACAAAATCAACTCACTGAAAGTGATGATCAAATCAATGACCATGCTCACGTTTAAACAATTGGAACATTAATATAGTATTATCATAATAATTGAACAAAGTTTTCTTCCAGTAACCATAAATAAGATATTTACAGTATATTGAAAAGTGTATAATGAGAGGTGAGTCCTCACATGGAAAGGGATGTAACCGTAAGTATATATTGATTAGTAATCAAGTGATAGTAATTGTGGTCATATAATGAACATAATTATAATTCAATTCAGATAAACACAACTTTGATAGTCTAAAAGTATGAAATATTAAATTTATGCGATATTTGTGTGCACTTTAAATCATCACGTGGTTTACATGCATACCATTTACATGTCTACAGCTTACAGCCTTATAATTCAATGTTGTTTACACCGTTGTATAGTTCCTTCTAACAGTGGGTAAACTTCACTGTAATGATAGTAATAATAGTCTTACAGTACATAAAGGTGAAGAAGATGTGAATGCATTGCAGTGAAGTTCAATGTGAGTAAAGTGGTAGATATGAGTGGAAAGCAATGACACATTGTCGCTGTACTGCAATAGTATTTATGTTTTGACCGATTGTTATGCAATTAAATGATGAATTGATGGCAAATATATTGAATGCAAACTAATTTAAAACTAATATAAGTGTGGATTGAGTTCAGAGACGATGTCTTTCTCTAAGATCTTCGCCAATAAAAGCATTTATTGTCTCAGAAGTCAACACAACTTTAAATTGATTTCCAATTACAAGAGTTTTTCAATAAGTTTTCAATGTTTTCATTCACTAAATAGGATTCAACCAAAAACCGTAAGTTTTGTTTGAATTGATTCAATGAAATGTCAATTAATATGAGTTATTCCTCGGAAGCCATTCATTGGACATAAGTTGACGCTTAAGACATATGGCAGTCATCGGTGTTTGAGTGGCATATCGCCGGACACTACCATTCAATTCTGCGGAGTTCACTGACAATGAGGGCTGTGCCTTTTACACTAGCTGAATAGGCGGCCGCGAGAGCTGCGGTCATGAAATCGGCTCTGATAGCAGTTGTGCTCACTGGAGGGCCACTGCCGTGAGTTGATGGCCTCCAATTGGACGCCAATCGGTAACCACTCATTCAATAAGTCTTATTTCATTGACTGTGTTATGTGTGCGAAGGTTGGGTTCTGCACCTCCTGGAGGGCTTACACCAGACAATGCCCTGGTATGCGACCATAGCTGTGGCCACACTATTCCTCCGCATCTGTATGTTCCCACTCGTCATCAAAGCCCAAAGTAAGAGACAATACTATTGGCAATAACTGTCGTATGCATTGATTGAGTGGTTGTTTGTGTGTCTTTCAGGGAATGCAATGAAAATGAACCAAATTATGCCTGAATTGCAAGAATTGCAGCAAAAGTCCACAAACGCTCGGCTCTCTGGCAATCAACTCGAGTGTAAGTCATTGTGTTATCATTTGCTAATAATTTGCATTTTAATCCTCTTTTGTTTAGTCGCCAAATATGCGACACAACAACAGGAGCTGATGGCTAAGCATGACATCAGTCCCTTCAAGAATATTTTGGTTCCAATGGCTCAGGTATTGCACCTGTATTTGCACAACAGTTTATGTAATTTAGTTGTCAACTGTTGTCTTGTTTTAGGCGCCAGTTTTTGTATCATTTTTCTTAACTCTCCGACGTATGGCTCATCTGCCGGTCGAGTCATTAAAAGTGGGGGGAATCCTATGGTTTGTTGACCTCACAGTTCCCGATGCCTTCCATGTGTTGCCAATCATCACAAGTTTGAGTCTTTGGGCGGCACTTGAATTGGGTGTTGAGTCCGGTAAATATGTCTTAATATGTCATGAAGACGTGAATCTAATGAATACTTGTTAGGCGTGAGCGCCAACACTTCAACGGTGATCCGGACAATGATGAGAGTCATACCTGTCGTCACACTCGTCTTCATCTGGAACTTCGAGTCCGCAATTCTGATGTATTGGTGTTCAAGTAATTTCATTTCATTGCTTCAGGTCTTACTACTGAAACAGCCGGCGATTCGACAATATCTTAAAATTCCGGCACAAATCAAATACAAACCCGAAGACCTGCCCGTCAAGAAGAAGGGTTTCTATGAATGTATGACTAGTTTAACACATTTAGAGTCTATTCGTTAATTGATTATATGGTTTCTCTCGGTTAGCCATAAAGGAATCGATGGATAATTCAAAGGTATATAAGAAAATAGAAGACCGAAAACGTATCGATGAAATGAACTTTAAGAGGGCGGCCATCGGTCCCATGTTTTTCTGAAAATTTTGGCTAGGTTGTTTTGACGTTTTATCCTTAATCAGTGAGTAAACAATAATATAGTTAATTAATTATAATTAATTTAAATTATTTCAGAATTCGAACTCAATCTAGAATCCTTTAAAATAAATTAGTGTCCAGTTCTATTTTATTGTATGCTTGTTACACAGATTCCTTAAGAGATCACTGGTTTGTCTCAATCGATATAATCTCGTATTTGATTTGGAAAATGTTTTAATATTGAGATAATGACTGTGATTATGAGTATGATTAAGATAATCGATGGTAAGTACCAAATGTCACATAAACCTAATCTATGGGTTTGAAGTGAGCGCTCAACCTATGAGCCAATAGAGAGCGTCAATAGTCACGTGAATAGCATTTGATTGCAAATTGAATGCATTTGACATGAATTGAGGGGTAATTGAGTCTGTTAACTCACCGTTAGCACACTAACTAAACGTTACAACAACCTCATGTATCGCACGTTTCACTCGTCCCAGTCCCGGTAGTTGGTGTGGTGACTGTAGTGGCCGCTATTGTGAGTGTGGTCTGTCAGTCGATGGCTGTGTGGCACATATGGCGCCAAACACAACAACCAACTGTCCCTTTGGTGCACCACTGATGCCACCAATGAGGCCACTGATGGCTACAACCGCGAGCTCAAGCGTGTGGTTAGTGTCCCACTCGTGGCAGATGTCACCCAAATCAATGTCATCGACAACTCCACTGCTGCCGTGAGTCAGGCCAACGGACAGCTTTTATACCTCGAGTATTCAGACAAAGAGTTCCGCTTAAGACATAAATGGGATTCAATTGATGGCTATTCGGCAAACGATTCGGTGTTTAATCCGTCGACAAATGAATTGATCACTTGTGGTGACAATGGAGTGATTCGTGTCTTCAATTTAGACAACTATTCATCGGAAATGAGATCCAAATGTTTGACTCAAAACTCGCTGAAAGCCATCGATTTGTTGTCACGAAATGAAGTGATTTGTGGCACGTCTTCGGGACACCTGAAAGTGTATGACTATCGCAACCAATCGGTGGTCGTGTCGATGGCCAACGAGTTATCGGTGATGACATGCGTGGGACGTAATCCCAATATATCTCATCTGATATCCTGTGGCAATGATGTGGGAGTGCTGTCGATATGGGATCTGCGGAACAGTGGCCGACAGTTACTGCAAGTGTCCGCCCATTCGGCACTCGTATCTCAACTCAACTATAAGGCCAACGAACCCAACGTTTTGATGACCTCTTCATACGACGGGTCACTCTTGCGATGGAATATCTCTTCGGCGACACAACTGGAATCGGTTGACGCGATTGTGGGCCGAGAGGGCGGTTCTGCCATCAATTCGTTTGACATAAACTCTTCGGACGAAATCATGTTCGCCGCCGACAACGAAGTCCTATATTTGGGTCATTTGTAACGAATTGTCTTTTTATTTAATTAATTGTTTTATTCATAAAATTGAAATAAAAGCGAATTCATCGTGAATTCAGATAATTATTCATTTTCTGTTGAAATTTTTGCTGATTTTTACTACATTTTCGACATTAAATCAAATTATTCCTTAAGGCGAACGTGAAATCTGTATTTGTATTGAAACAAAGTTTTTGTTCACAATTTGCTGACTAATGAAACGATTTGTCAAAAAATTAAAATTTATTTTTCATATAAACTTCAGACACTAAGTCTCTATGAAATTTGTGAGTTTTATTTTTATTTGAATATTAGTTTTGTTTTTTTGCGATTGTTGTTGAAGTTGTGGTTAATCTTATGGTCACTGAGAATGCAATCCGCGAGGCGAAGGAGTTCTGTCATGGATTACGAGCAGTCGTTAATGTTTGGACAATACAGAGAAAAATTGGCTAATTTTGCGTCAATTCAGTCGCAAAAGTCTAATAAACTGAGAGAAGAGCGTCAGAAGGAAACCAAAAGCAAAGCTAATCTGAACTCACATTTTGCAACAAATGTGATCCAAAAAATGGTATCAATTGCCGAATTGGGCGGCGATTGGATTCTGTTGGCTATACTGGCCATCATTTTGGCTTTCCTTAGCTTTGTTATGGATATTATCATTCACTTCTGCTTTAATTGTTTGTAAACCAATGTCTTTATAAGTAAATCAAAGCTAATGTTTGAATCCATTTGACCTCACAGTACGTGATTGGCTCACATATAACATCACCGAAGTGTTTGCCTACAAATATCTCATTTGGATTGCATTTGCGTTGTGTCTTATCATGTCTTCAGCTATATTTGTGAGATATGTGTCCCCACAGGCGGCTGGTAGTGGTGTCGGGGAGATGAAGGTCTGACCAATATCTCGATCATCACTTATTTATAAAGATTTAGTTTTCAATTTTAGGTTATTTTGCGAGGAGTTGTGCTCAAAGGTTTGAAATAATGTGTTCAATTGCAAACTATTTAAATTGACATTCAAATTAAATCTTCAATTTTAGAATATCTTTCATTCAAAACATTAATCGCTAAAGTAATAGGACTTCCGTTTATTTTGGGTATATTTTACTGTAGAAGTTAATTTTTTATTAATCTATTGTTCTGATCGGTCAGGGAGTGGACTACCTCTCGGCAAAGAAGGGCCGTATGTTAACAACTAATTTGTTATAATTTTATTATTTTTCAATAATTCAATCAAATGATTCAAGTACCATTCTTATAATTGAATTAAGTTTAATAAGAATTTTAATTTAATTCATTGATGCTTATTATTTAATGGGGATTAATATTATATTAATTAAAGGTTTGTGCACATCTCAGCAATGGTAACCAACCAACTGATTAGACTTTTTCCCATTCGGAGCCAAAATGAATACGAGTCTCGATTTTTAGATGTAATTTATAATTTATACCAATTTTATCATATTTTAAAGTTTCACTTCACCATAAGCTGATAGCGGTAGCCTGTGCTGTAGGTGTGGCCACAACATTTGCCGCTCCAGGTTATTTCAATTATTGTTTAAAATATGTTTAATATATGTGTAAATCTTTTATCTGAATAACGCATTCAAAAGTCGGTGGAGTGTTGTATAGCATAGAAATAGTGTCCGTTTTCTTCTCTGTGCGCTCGTATTGGATGGGATTCTTCGCGTCCACTATTGGCGCCCTATTCTGGAGACTCTTCACTGTTTGGTTTCAATTGGAGGACAATATCACTCATATCTTCAAAACGAATTTTCGTAGAGAATATCCATACGAGACGTTGGAATTGGTGTTATTTGCAATATTGGGAGCCTTGGCCGGTCTGAGCGCCTACTTGTTTGTCACTATTCAACGACATATCGTACTCTTCAATAGAAAACGAACTCCTTTTCACATAATTCTCCAAAAATATCCGCTAATATACCCGGCTTTAGTCACTATCATTATATGTCTCCTCTCATTTCCAGAAGCTTTGGGACAGTTTTATGCCTCGTGGCTCTCATCAGGTTTGGCTTTCATTTGATTTTCTACAAATAATTCTTGTAAACGTTGGGTTTAATTGATTTTTTTTATCAGAACAATCAATGCATGAGTTGTTTAGTAACTTCACGTGGGGTTTAATTGCTGATCAGATCGATAAGGACGACATCATAGATAACTGGAGAACAAAATCAACCTCTATATACACCAATACATTCTTATTCTTTGTGATGAACTTGTTGGTGGTAGCACTTGGATCTACACTACCAGTTCCCTGTGGGCTAATAATTCCAAGTTTTAAAATTGGTGCTGGACTGGGAAGGTATGTTTCTATAAATGCTATTTACCCACAATCTGTTTGATAGAGAAATCTATTGTATTTGTTAAGGTTTTATGGGGAATGGATGGCATATTTGTTTCCAAAAGGAGTCAATCCATTTTATGACAGAACTAATCTTCCGATCATTGCCGGGGCCTATGCTGTGGCCGGTTCTGCAGCGTTTGCCGGCGCCAACACAGGTATTTCATTGACATAACAGTGCTATGGATTGTATTACAGTATGCGTTAATTTCATACAAATTAAGGCGCCCTGTCATCAGCGGTCATCATATTTGAAGTGACGGGACAAATGACTCACTTATTGCCTGTCATTGTATCGGTAATCACAGCAACTCTAGTGGCACAACGATTGGGTCCTTCCATATACGACAGTCTTATTAAGCTCAAGAAATTACCATATCTACCACCAATGGTTCAGTCAAGTTCTGCTCACAGAATATTTGTTCAGGACTTTATGGAACGGGACTTATTGTATATATGGGAGGGGTGCTCTTACAGATACTTAAGACATTTATTAAACTCTAAAAAACATCTCAATATTTATCCGTACGTCAAATCTCCGGAATCTATGATTTTGTTGGGAACTGTCGAACGAATAGAATTACAAAATTTATTAGAAACCCATTTGAGTAAAGAACTAATGATTGAGGATTTAAAGAGTAAGCCATCGGTTCATGGCTTAAATAAGCCGTCGCCTTCCTGTCCAATACACGGACAACAGCAACAGCCGAGGTTTCAAGTGGCGACTATTCCTGAGAATGAAGTCCTCGAAATCACTTCTGTTGGGGTGAGTATTCCGTACACTTGTATTTATCACTAATATAAGCCATTCAAATGTCTATACAATTAATGATTATAAATTTATTCATATTAACAAGTAAGCTTATTTCTAAATTTATTAGAAACATGTTTGGGAAGAGAATGTTAACCTCTTTAATCAGCTAAAATGGTGAACAGGTTATCTGGGACGCGGGAAAGTTAATCATCTCCCCTGAAGTAACTACTTCCAGAATGTTAATCAATACAAAATTATTAAATGATTTATAAAAAGTACATTCAGGCACACAATATGTTCTCTCTATTGGGACTTCAAGTGGCTTTTGTGACTGTTTTAGGACGACTTATTGGTGTTGTGGCTCTCAAAGAGGTATTTATTATAAATTTAAATCATATTTTGATAGTAATTCAAAACATAAATGTATAAATGTAATAGTTTGAATCCTTAGAACTTTCTATTATTTTTGACATTTTAACAAACATAATTGTTTTCTCAAGATAACGTTTTATTGAGTCATTTACTTAATCTATAATTTTAATAACTTTAGATCCGGAAAGCCATCGAAAACATGAATTCCGGAGAACTTCCTCGAAAAAGAAGTGACTCTTCACCCGAATCTCAACCATTAAACGAATAAATCATTTATTTGTTAATATTTTCCTCTTATATGTGGAAATGATTGTTAATTATTTTTAAAAGATTTAAAATATAAATCAAACTATATTAGTAAAGTACATAGGAACTTGGTAACTAGGTACCGTAATATAAGTCCAGAATAACATTCAAAATAATATACTTCCTTTTAGTGAGTAATATTCGTCCCTTTCTCAACGACTTTGTTTTCTAACCCTATAATAATATTAATTATTATTCAATCAGTAATTTTACTAAGTGTTAAAGAAGGGTATGATATTTAGTAATTAGCAAAATAACTTAATGAACAGCAGTTTTACAAACCGAAACTATTCCCTACGCTTTGTAGATAATGATTTATTTTCGAGACTCCAACCATTTTTATAATTTTATTTTCAAGGGGTGTCACCGGGAGATACTCACAAGAGGCCACAAGTTTAATGGTAGCATTGTAGTTACAATAAATATCATAGACTATCGTAATATTAAAACCGAGTGGAGAATTTCACAATTTTAATAATAAATAAATAAAATTCAGACAAAATAAACAAATCGCTTTTAAATAAATTCTATGAGAATAATAATACTGTGGAAAAATATTGCATTCAATGAAAATAAATGTTTTGTCTTTTTTGTCAATAACACAGGTTTTCAAAAGATGCAAACTTTGAGCGCTTTATCATTAGTTTACTCTTTTGGCAATTGATTCGTGAATTCGGAATATATTTACAAAACTAACTATTCATTTGGTTAAAATAATAATAAGTTAGTCATTAAAATGATTCACAATTTCTTCCCATACTATAAATCATTAATCGTTTTATTGAATTACTTGTCGTCAAAATGTTTGGCTTTGATAAGGGATGCGAAACATCTATTACTACTATTTTCGAGACTCCAACCATTTTTATAATTTTGTTTTCAAGGGGTGTCACCGGGAGATACTCACAAGAGGCCACAAGTTTAATGGTAGCATTGTAGTTACAATAAATATCATAGACTATCGTAATATTAAAACGAGTGGAGAATTTCACAATTTTAATAATAAATAAATAAAATTCAGACAAAATAAACAAATCGCTTTTAAATAAATTCTATGAGGATAATAATACTGTGGAAAAATATTGCATTCAATGAAAAGAAATGTTTTGTCTTTTTTTGTCAATAACACAGGTTTTCAAAAGATGCAAACTTTGAGCGCTTTATCATTAGTTTACTCTTTTGGCAATTGATTCGTGAATTCGGAATATATTTACAAAACTAACTATTCATTTGGTTAAAATTTTTTGTCAATAACACAGGTTTTCAAAAGATGCAAACTTTGAGCGCTTTATCATTAGTTTACTCTTTTGGCAATTGATTCGTGAATTCGGAATATATTTACAAAACTAACTATTCATTTGGTTAAACACTGTTTGTTTCAATATCTTTATCACTTTGTCGAGTCATTTCCGAGTCATTGGTGGCTACGGATGTGATGGTGTCCTCGTAGTGCAGATCCGATTCTTGTCCATTGATTATAATTGAAGGCCCGGTAGGGTTTTGGGGCACCAGTACTCCCTGATTCATTTGCTCGATAGCCGTTCGCAACTATTGTTTGCAGAATTTATAAGTATTTAATAATCACTTCAATTAATGGTTAACACAATCCGTACGTCTTTAAGGGCCACGACTCCGACCAGCCTTCCGATGGATGTGACGTAAGCGTGATTTAGGCCTAACATCGAGAATATGGAGTAAACCTTAAGTAAAGTGGTTTTCTCGACCAACTGGAAGGGCGCCGGATCTATACGACACATTGAGAAGTCAACCATTGAATTGAGCTGGTCTTCCTCCCAGGCCGCCTGTTCCTCTTGAGACATATCTATCACTCTTTCCTTTGGCTATATTTAATGCAATGTTTAATAACAAAGTCATAGCTTTACTAATGACAGTTCACTCACTAATCTGACCCTTCGATGCAATGGATGGTTAGGGACCACAATCTCAGGCTTTTCTGTCTTTCCGGTCTAACATTCAGATAATTTGCTAATTTATTAACACATAAACCAATCATACAATAGAGGCAAACCTTATCAGGATTTGCGTCCTGAAGCTTAAGACTTTTAAAGAAAATGTTTTCAAACGCATGCCTTAAACGTGAATCTGTGGTTATATTTGGTTTGAAATATTTTTTTAAACAAAAATATATTATAAAATTAAATATACATAATATATAGAATCTATATCATAATATGCAGATACAGTATATAATATATAGATCTCAAACCTTGTGCTGTGAGAGTAACTGTAGAATGTGGTGAATATGTGAAGGAAACGGTATGTTTTAATATGGATTTGACGGGTCCTTTATTAGGAGACAAACGATTAGTCGGTGGCGGAGAAGACCTGCCATCGAGTGACTGTTGAGGTACTGGTGTTACTTCGAAACGAGACATTCGTCGAGACATGCTATTAGTATTAGTGTTCTCTGAGGGCAATGACTGAGATTTGGTTGCCGTCGCCTCTGAAACGGCCGACGCTCTCTCTGCGACCTGAAGGAGGGTGTCTTGGATTGAATACCTGCGCCTCACTTCTTGTAGTCGCCGATCTCTGCTGAGCCTCTGACTGGCCAGATGTGACAACTCCTGTCTCTGGACAGACCCCAACAGAATCATACAATCGCTGTCTTCTACTAATGGAAAGGATTGCAGTTTTCTGTGCGCTTTCAATAGGCCTTTGAGATCACCATATGTGCAGTCTTTCCAGATATAGGCCACTTCTCGCACCATTATGTCCTCGACGTGAATATGATGTGCGGCTGAAGATGTACTGAGAATGGGCGGAAGGAACGGGAGTTTCTTTATTTGAATGATTGAGTCATAAATAGACAGCTCTAGTGTTTGTGAGATTGCATTTGCTATCAATACGGCGATGATTACGGGTATGATATGAGTCATCTGTCCCGTCAACTCAAACACAATCACAGAAGTGCTTATAGTGTGTGTGACAGCACCTGTACCAAGGTACTAGATTATTTTCATATAATCTTTAAAATTTAATTTCTTTATTACCTGAAAAAGCAGCTGCACCTAAAACATACAATATAACAAATGATATATAATCACAGTAACTCTATGAGAATTAACAATATATTACCGACTACTGCATAACCTCCCGGGACTATTGGGTTTCTCGAACCTCCAAATGAAATACCAGATGGAAATAATTGAGCCATGATTTCACCTAAATTTCGTGTTCATAAACATAAATCTATTGTTTGTGATTAAATTATATATATGAATACAAACCAACTAATCGCCCAAAAGCGGCACCAATTTTGAAGACTATATGTCAAAAATAATTTGTATAAAATTTAAATAATGTGTATATGAATACTAACACCAAAACATTGAACTAACCTGGAATGAAAGTGCCGTTTGGAACAGGAATAGTTGATGCTAATATAGACATCCAGAACTTGGAAAACAAAATTAAATAGTTTTAAAATTCTCATATTATCACTAATTGGGACGTGTCTTACAGTCATCATTATATAAAATGAAAGATTAAAATAAATAGAAGTATGTTCTGTAGACCAATGCTTATTCATTTTCAAACGATACGGATCTGAGAGGTTGTGCCCCCACGTTATGTTACTAAACATCTCATTTATTGAGTCATGAGTCGATAGCTAAAGTAAAATAATATTAATTCTTAACACACTTGAATAAATTATATAATAAAACACAAATTTGATATAAAACACGTACCGTTGCGGCCATATATTGACCCAGAAATAAAGGGAAAGAAATTGTAGTCAAGAATAATGTAATTATACCAGGATACATAAAACGGCTGAAAATAAAGTTAGAAATTTAGTAATTTAGCAAAATATTTACTACAATTTAATTAGTTATATACTTTTTCTGCAAAAATGCACTCAATTTTTTATGCGTCCGAAAAAAGTTAACAATTTTTCGGTGGAAAGTGACATAACCGGCGCCACCAAAACCACAGACTACACCGATCAGAGAGAAAACGAACAATTCTTGCGGATCGAAAGGGAAGTCCGCACTGAAGTTGGTTTTGAATAAAGCAGTTATTGCTTCTGTCAGACAAATTAAACATATAGTTTAAGATTTTAGTGCTATTTAAACATCAATTACAATTTATAAGAATTCTAATAAATCACACCAAAGATTGATATGTTTCAAGTGAAATCTAACCTTCATTTTTAAACCAGACCTCAAGTAGTCTCCAAACGGTTGCCCCACAACAGGCGGCAAAGAATCCGCGCCAATAGTTCCTGACGGCAAAGAATACTGACGTGACTTCGATTGAGAATAAGACACCACCGATGGGTGCATAGAAAGTGGAGGCCACCCCTTATCAGTCGCACAAATATATATACAAATGATAATCAACTCAATAAAAGATATGAAACTCACGCACCGACAGCACAGGCGGCGGCCAACATCTCTCCAGTTCGGGACTCGTTCTCATAAATGCCTTTGAATGAAGTGATCAGTTTTGAGAGCAAAGTCGCCACTATAGAGGCCACGTGAACGAACCTATCGGTGCATCAGTACTGTTAGTGAACAACTGTTTCTNATGGGTGCATAGAAAGTGGAGGCCACCCCTTATCAGTCGCACAAATATATATACAAATGATAATCAACTCAATAAAAGATATGAAACTCACGCACCGACAGCACAGGCGGCGGCCAACATCTCTCCAGTTCGGGACTCGTTCTCATAAATGCCTTTGAATGAAGTGATCAGTTTTGAGAGCAAAGTCGCCACTATAGAGGCCACGTGAACGAACCTATCGGTGCATCAGTACTGTTAGTGAACAACTGTTTCTCTATGCAAATCAATTAACATTTACTAACGGTCCTTCTTTGCCCAGAGGTAGTCCACTGCCTAATGTTGAGGTCAGACCTAATCCAGAGTTTAGTAAATGATTCATGTCCTTACTCAGATATTCTTAACTAATCTTACAGTTATCAATATATAACTTAATTATAGTTAGTTTCAGTAGGAAGTTAATTCTATCGATTATTTATAAGATAAAAGTTACTATTTATAAAAAATATTATATAAAAGTTTATGCAGTATTTGCTATATAAAAATTGTATAATAAATTTTTATAATAAAATATTAATATAATTAACGTCATAAATACCTATCATTTTAGCGACTAATGTACGAAACGTCAGATATTCATTGAGAACAACCCCTTTATAGATAATTACAATTAACAATTAGATTTTTTTATTGCTCGTCATATTCATTTGTGAATTACCTCTTAATATAGTCTTCATTTCAGGTATTCCTGATCCGACTGCCTATCAATTCAAATGATAAAACTATTAAATAATTTGTGCTAGATTAAAATTAGGTATAAATTTAAGCTCAGAAATTATTCATTTGTATAATTTTATATTATATTATACAAAGTATAACATTATACGAAGTATAATATAAATGATAATTGTAGTTATATTTGTATAAAATTGTAATAATGAATACTAAGCTTGAGATTGAATAGTATGTTCACCTGTGGAGACACGATGTGAACAAATCCGGAAGAAAATAAAATTAAAAGTACGGGTAATGTTGTCCACGCAATGTATTTGTAGACTATATTATCGCCCGTCAAGTCATCGTAGAGCCAAGTATGTTCACCTGTGGAGACACGATGTGAACAAATCCGGAAGAAAATAAAATTAAAAGTACGGGTAATGTTGTCCACGCAATGTATTTGTAGACTATATTATCGCCCGTCAAGTCATCGTAGAGCCAAAGACGGGTTTTGGTGCAAATGTGTATACAATCTATGAAATCATTGTTAACAACCGATATATTTGTGATATACAATCATTAAGTTAATGAAAGCCTTACAATCCATAATAAAGCTCAAAAGAGCCATGATTATTCCTAACAGTGCCAGAAAGACCCAGTCCTCACCTATGCGGGCAAATGTGTGTCTCCAGAATATTGAAAAATATGCTGTCGTTTGATAAATCGATATTTATATTAAAAATAATACAAAATATAAAATTTACTGTTATAGTTTTATTAATAATTCAATAATGCAATCATTCTGTATATAATAATAAAATATCATTAAATATAATTCCAAATATAGACATTCAATATTAAAAAGTCAAAAATCAAAATCATTATAACGTTTAATTACAATGCTTTTTATTTTGTATGCAATATTAATACATTCATTAAAATAATTTGTCTATTATACTATTAATATTAATCATTCAGAAAAATGTTTGGAAAATAAATTCATTTAAACATAGATTAAAATTTAAATAATAAAATTGAAAATTCATTTATGCAAATGTGAAAATGTGAATAATTCAATTATTTCTATTACTGTATTTAAATCTTTGAATACAATTCTGTTCAGAATTTAGACAAGAATACTCAAAAATTATTTCGTACACATATTGTTTATATTTATTTCGATTTAAATATTTATGATAAAATATGTCTAGATCAGTTTAAATAGCATTTATTAAAATTTGATCTAATATCATTATAATTTGATTATACTGTATCTTCTATAATATAGTATTGTATATTATATAGTATATTATTCTTAATAATTATTATTTCTTAAAAATATCAGCTTGTCAATAATTAAGCTAAATATTTACACCATTACAGTACTGTACTGTATATAACTACATATCTATAGAGTTTAAACATATCATTAAATAATTCTTCAATCTATCATTTATACCTAACATAGAAATTATTTATGTGAACCTGGCTCATAGGATCAGATGAATTTGTACATAAATCATTAATTATATTTTATTAATGTGGTAGTAAATCAATAAAATATAATTTTAATAATATATTATTTAAAGCGAATATTTCTAATATAATATACTAGTTATACTTTAACTAATGTCAATTTTTAATACAATTAACATTTAATCTGAATCTTTAGTTAAGATAAATAAATAATTGTTAACAGGTCAAATAATGATTTATCAATACCTATTAATTGTCTGCTAATACTAATAATAAGAGCTAATTGAGAAATTGATAAAATGTATGTTTAAGAGTATGTTTAGTTTTAAACACGATTTTGTTTGTTCATCACTGAATGTCACCTCATTTGAGTGAATGCATGGAAATAATTGTACTCTTTTTGGCATTTATTGCAAAATACATGCTTTCCATTCAAGTGATATGAATTGACATTAAGTTCTACTCTATTAATATCTGTTTCAAACACTCGTCTCACCCATTGGTAACTTTTGGCCACAAACCAAATATGACAGCTTATGTGTGAGGATCTGGATGGTTTTAAAAATATAAATATTTTCTGACTAATCTGTTTTTATATATTTATGCAAATCTTGTAATAATCTACGTGAAACCCTTGTCTCTGATAACAGATATTATAGCACTTAAAACATAAATTATATAAATAGTACTGATTATAAAGCTTTTGTGATTATCAATGCTTATTCATTTTTAATGAACATTAAGACTTACAAATATCTGTTATAACATACATTGTATGTTTATAAGTGTGCTCCCATAAATTAAATTAATTATATCACATAAATTATTATTAAATAATACAGTTAACACATTTTGTGTCAATATTTTTAGTTAAGTATTTCTTTTGTCATTGTGTACAAAAATTAATACAGTATCAACCCATAACATTTTTATAATTGCATAACTATTATTATCCTTATAGTATGAATCCAAAACAAAATTCTTATCATTCAAGTTCTAACTAAACAATAGTAGTAAAAAATGTGATAAAAATGGTTTTTACTGCTAATTTGCAATTCACCCAAAAGTTATTAATTATAATTATTAATCAAAAACTACGGCATTTTCCAATGAATTATTTACTTATTTCTCTGTTTCCTAAATAATATTTTAGTTCCTAACTTAAGATATGAATTACAAGTAAATTTTAAATGTAACTAATTATTGGTTTAAATTTTGAATCGAAGGCTTATTGAGTGAATGTTAAACAATAATTAGCTCTCAATATAATCAAGTGAATTGAGTGTTTGTACACAACTTATAGTAAAGTAATACTTAAGAGATCTAGAGATAGGTATAAATTATAATTGAATGATGTTTGTTGTGCAAGTGGTTGTTGATTAGCATTGTATTGAATGGTGTATAATATTAGTTATATTAGTACCAGGGACAAACCTGTTATGTTTCGTTTCCAGGCATTCTTTTTCAAACCTTTTTGTGTTAATATCTTTTGCTCTCTCTTTCGAAGTCTATTGAGTTTTTGTGCCTGTTTTTTGGCGTATTCTCCCAAATCTTCCCTATACTGACCGTACATCTAGTCATAGATTGCATAACCATTAGATGATTAGTGATTCACTGATTAAGACATGATTAAGTGATAGTCTTATAAAACTCTTACCAAAGTCTGTTCAAAGCCAAGCGTTGATGTCTTCCCGACCATTATTTCTTATATTATTAATGCGTTTCACTTGTGAAGACACTTAACAAAACTGAACTCAACTTCAATATTCAACACTTGTGCAAATATTACTATTCAATCAGTTTTTATCCACTAATCCCAAGTCATAATGATTTGGAAATTTAGTTAAAACACAAATTCAGGTTAAATATCATAATAACATCGTTGAGCTCTGGTATCCAATGTGTGGTTCAGTGCCGGTATTAAACACTTTGTTAAATACACTTTAATATTATACATGCAAACAGGAATATACACGGAATGGGATAACATAGCATAGGATAGCATACATAACATGTAGTGTTTGGGGCATTGAAGGCATTTGAGGCACTGTTAGTCACTGTAAGGCTGTTGTGGTGTTCACTTGTCTGTCCTTAACTATCGTCGAGTGATTGTTACGTAAAACAGGCACTCATTTGAGCCAATCTTTTGCCAACTATTCTTAGCTCTTATAAGAAGTTGGTTTCACGGCTTAACTCTTCTCTAAATCAAAGTTCATTTCAAACAAAGATCTCAATGAATGAATGCAATCATTATTTCCATCTCTATTATATAATATCACACTCTTTACTAGTATTCATATTATAGTCTACAGAATGTGTTATATTTCAAACAAATCGTTGCATTTGTGGCAAACTTTTTGTGAAACTCGATATGAATTTAAATGTTAGGAAAACGTTCACATAAGCCATAAAAATCACAAATATATAAATTATTATAACATATATTCGAGATATGAACCAAATATTAATATCATTTTAAGCGTGTATTAACTGCAATCATGTATTTCTCTATTATATTCGTTACATTTAGCTTCATTGTCGTCTTTATGCATAACTTCATTATTGATTATTTTTATATTAATTACTATATTCATATAAAATTTATGCTTTATAATAAAATATTTTACTTGTGACAAATGGTCAATATTTTGCAGTTAGATTATTGAATTAAATAAATTTTATTTAAATTAGCGCTCAAAGTTATATACTGTAATTATTAAAAGTTATCGCATAAATACGTAAACATTTAAATTGTTTTCCCAGGAAATAATTTCCGACAAACTAATTGCATACAACAGTTTGTGCTCTAATTTCACTAAATCTCAATTGGCATCAAATTAATCATTTATTAGCACTAGAATTAGACTCAAAATTACACGTTCATTGATGTTACTAATAGTTTTGCAATTAATATTATTCACTTACTTTTCAAATATTTTAAAAACTTTATATAAATAATTAAATTGATTCTCGTAATTAATTCTTAGCCGAATGACTTGGTAATAATTTTAATGTACACAATTCTTTATTTTGCTGTCTATAATAAATCAGTATACATTGACATATACTGTATACATCAGTAATTGTACTGGACATTTAGTTCATTTTTAAAAAATATTGAAATCAAGATATTCAGTAATTTCATACATGTATGTTCACTGATTAACTAATTCTAAAGTATTTTTATGTATTTATAAATTAGTTTTTTCCTTGGGTATTAACTTATTTAGCAACATTTTAAAATTGATGTCAAAGTATCTCTCAAAGATGTAATGCTATTTAAGTGTACAGATAAGAGACGGTTTTTTCTCTCATCTCAAAGATTGACAACATTTCTGACCAAGGTTCTATTACAAAGAATTTTTAACTTTAATTAAAATAATCTAAAGTTAATCATAATCAACTAGCTACAATACTTTCATATTTGAAATTTTATTCCAATTAAAAATATTTATATTATAAATGCTTATTCAAAATATTCACTGACATTTTTATTTCAACAAATACCTACTTTAAAAACATTTTGTGATTATAACTTAACTGTAATATAAATTGGTTTTATAATGATCATCATTTAAAAGTCTGTGTTATTGTGAAGTAAAAGTTTC